TCGAGGGCTGCAGGCTCCTCCTCCTTCTCCTCCTCCTCCTCCCTCTCCTCCTCTTCGTCGTCGTCGTCCTCCTCCTCCTCCTCCTCCTCCTCCTCCTCCTCCTCCTCTAAAGGGGCCCTAAAAGAGGCCCTGCGGTATCGCTCGGACGTGCGTATGTTTTCGGTGAGGAGCATGGGGGCGCATTCCGGACCATCTTGCGAACAAGCAGGCGCTCGAGGCCGAGGCACGCACGGGGAATGGTCGCCCGAGCGATGGCAAGCTCAGGGAACCGCGATGGTGCAACGAAGCGTGCACCGCTCTGCACCCCCACGTTTGCTGCCCCTCCATGAGGCGGCGCCCCATCTGGGGCCGCTTTCTCATCGTTCATTGAGCTCGGAGGGTCTTGCGGTCCGAAAGCGGGCCCAGGACGCCGAAGTTGCGGAGAAGGTCTACCATTCGTTGATCTCTCTGGATGTATGTATTGGAGAATATTGTAACGTGCTGTGCTGGGATGTGTTGTGATGTATGCATGGATGTACAGCTGCATGTTAAAACCTTCTGCGCATCTGATTTTGTGTACACATGCACATAGCTAACATGCACATGTGTGTATATATGTTTGTATCTGTGTGTTTACATAGTCTTGATTCTTCGCGTATCTCCACCAGCCCAGCCAGAAACGATCAGCAGGGGAGTTTGTGAAACAGGGACGGCTGGAAGCATGCACTTGTGCGGCCGTCTTCAGAAAAACAAGGATCGCACATAGCTTCCCGCATTGGAGTTTTAGATGGACGTCAGTGCAAGATACGACGTGGTACCCCCGCGGCAAACGTCTCTAGCGCATGTGGCTGTATCCATCCTGGGCCAGAAGAAACAAGGAACACACATAGCTTCCCGCAGCGAAGTTTGAGATGGAGGCCGGTGCAAGATACGCCGTGATGTTCCCTGTGGTAAGCGTTTCGCACCACATCTCGAGGCCATCTCGAGGCTCTCCTGGACTCCCCGTGGAGCCTCTTGGGGCTTTCTTGGAGCCCTCTTGGGGCTTTTTTTGGGGGTCTTGTGGCTCTCTTGGAGCTCTTTGGGGGGGTCTGGGACGCCTCGTGGGGCCGTCTTGAGTTCCACTGTTCAAGAAGAGGGGGGGTACTACATTCTAACCCCCCCTCCCCGGAGGCTCAAACATGTCGTCTTGAGGTCCCCTTAGGCCATTCTTGGAGCGCTCTTGTGCGCTCTTGGGGCCGTCTGGGAGCCCTCTTGGGCCCCTCTTGGGCTCTCTTCGGTCATCTTGGGCCATCTTGAGGCCCCAAGAGCCCAACGGAGGCGAAAAAGCGAGAAGGCAACCAACAGGAAGATTTTGGCCTCTTGGGGGGGTCCTTGGAGGGCTCGGAGAGCACTTGAAACCCTCTTGGGGCCGTCTTGAGGCCTGTTGGATGTGTGTCGGAGGCTATCTTGAGCCATCTATCGCTATTTTTGGCCATCTTGAGGGCCATCTTGCGCTCTCTAAGGCCCTCTCGGAGCCATCTTGGGCCAAAAAAGGACCCTCTGCCACCTCGCGGGGGAGCCCGTCCAGACCCACGGAGGGGGGGGAGGTTAACCTCCCGAGCAGGGAAAGGAAGAAGGTTGGAAAAGCAAACGCCCTAGAATTACCAGCCTGGAACATATCCCTATCCCTATGCTGGGCATCTCCTCATCACGATGCCAATCTTAGGGATTCCCTCATTTTTTGAGGGCGAATCCCTCAGATTGTCATCGCCTTTTGGCGTGTCAATCTTAGGGATAGGGATAAGTTCGAGGCTGGTCATAGAAAACCTGCGCCCAGAGGGCTGGTGGGATAAGGAGGCGCGACGCCGGAGGTCTGGCCTGGGACCGTCCCCCCCCCACAGAAGTCGATCTCCAGACGTGTGCTGGAGCGCATTCCGACCAGGGTTCCGAGGCGAATCCAATCGCTGCGGCGAAGCCCCCCGCCAGGAGGTCCTAGAGAGGCAGAAGCCTTGAAAACTAGCCCTCCTTCTCGTCCTCCTCCTCACTCGGTGGGTCTTCTGGCCTCGGGCGGCGTGTTCTGAAGGATTCTGGGCTCGCTGGGAAGCTCGACGAGGCGCAGCTGGTGGAATAAATCCGGGGCCCGAAAGCCTCCAGTAATCCTCCTCCCTACCCTCCCTCTCTCCTTTTCTCCCTGCGCCTGCCTCCCTCCCCACTACTCCTCCTCCTCCTCCTCCTCCTCCTCCTCCTCCTCCTCCTCCTCCTCCTCCTCGAAGCGCAACGGGCTGGGCAGCCCCGCTTATTCTTCGACGTCGCCGTCCGGTACAGCGTGCCCGGTGACGTCGACGGCCTGGCCGCCGCCGCAGGCCGTGACGGGGTGGTGAACGCGACAGCCGAGTCGGACAAGCGCTGGCGCTACCCCGCGGGGCAAGCGCCGTGGCGCATGGTGCCCCTGGCGCTTGAGACCGCTGGGCGCCACGGCAAGGCGGCCCTGCAGCACCCGCGGGCCCTGGCCCGCGAACAGGCCGCCCTTCTGGAAGAGGAGGGAGGTGTCGGTGCCGCCGAGAGGCGGTCGCTGGACAGCTCGTCGCCCGCTGGGGGCCGCGAGCTCAGCGTCGCGCTGCAGCGGGCGGCCGCGCAGCAGCTGCGGACGGCGCTGGGGGTCGACCGCGCGGCGGGCGCGGCTGGCCTGCGCGCTGCGCTGGCCGGCTAGGCTGACGCTGCGGCACTGGCGTAGGCGAAGGTCGTCTACCTTCTCGTCGTGCAGCACGACGTGGACAATGGGTATGGGGGGTGAAGCGCGAGCCCTCTCGGTGCCCAGGAGGAGGAGGAGGAGGAGGAGGAGGAGGAGGAGGAGGAGGAGGAGGAGGAGGAGGAGGAGGAGGAGGAGGAGGAGGGAGGAGGAGGAGGAGGAGGAGAGGAGGAGGAGGAGGAGGATGGAGGAGGAGGAGGGAGGAGGAGGAGGAGAGGAGGAGGAGGAGGAGGGGGCGGAGGAAGGAGGAGGAGGGAGGAGGAGGAGGAGGAGGAGGAGGAGGAGGAGGAGGAGGAGGAGGAGGAGGAGGAGGAGGAGGAGGAGGAAGAGGAGGAGGAGGGGGCGGATGAGGAGGACAACGACGACGACGTCCACGAGGACATGACCGCGACGACCATGCCGATGCCGCCGACGCCGCCGACGCCGCCGACGACCTCGCCGAGCCACATTTCCGAAGTGGACAAAAACGTCTTCGAACCTCGATCCGCGAACTGCGAACCTCGAGCCTCGATCGACGACGAGGATGACGCCGCCGCCGACGACGGCGACGGCGGCGACGACAACGACCAGGCGCGACGCAAGTGGCTGGCCCTCGACTTCGAGCTCCAGCGGCTGCGGGACGAGGAGCGCTCGGCCGCTTTTTGGCTAGTTCCGACGCGGCCCCCGCCCCCAAGATCGAGATGAGAACGAAGACATGTGACGAAAAGGGGACGGGGGACAGGGAGAGGGAACGCTGCGAAATCTGCTGCGTGGCAGCTGGTTCGGCCCCGCCGCTGGGCTCTTTCCTTGATACGTTGGCGCCTCTGGCGCCGGGAGGCGCCCGAGAAATCAGCTACACGAGCTGGTTCGCTACCGCCCTTTCTTGCTATACCTGTTTCGTCCGCCCCCGAGGGTGGTGACGAAGACTGACAGGAGTTCCTGTCCGTTTTGAGCAGGGCTCGCTGTCGGTGTCGCCGCGGACGTGGTCCAGTTGTGACAGAAAGTCCCCTGCCCAATAGCGGCCGTCGTCGGTTTTGGACAGCGCTTGTTCTTGGGCATCGTGCCCTTTTTTGTGTACCTTGTCAGGGCATCACAATTCGACGAGGCTCCCGCCGCCGCCGCCACTCGAGGCTCGAGGATCGAGGCTCGGCGCTCGAGGCTGGAGGCTCGAGGGTCGAAGGCCGTGGATCGAGCTTTGGTCTGAGCGTCTTCGGACCTCTGTGGTCCTCTGGGTGGCCTCGAGAGGCCTCGGAAGGCCTCAGGGGACCTCCACGGACTTCATGGGGACGTTCGGAGACCTTGGGTGGCCTCCTGAGGCTCTACGAGATGAGAGCGGCCGCCGCTGCCACCGCCGTCGCCGTCGCCGCCGCCGTCGCCGTCGCCGTCGCCGTCGCCGTCGCCGCCGCCGCCGCCGCCGTCGTCGTCGTCGTTGTCGTCGCCGCTGCTGCCGCCGCCGTCGCCGCTGCCGCCGTCGTCGTCGTCGCCGCCGTCGTCGTCGTCGTCGTCGTCGTCGTCGTCGTCGTCGTCGTCGTCGAGGGCCGAGGTTCGAGGACGTTTTTGTCCACCTTTGGTTCTCCGAGGGGGCCCTTGTGGCTACGGTTGGATCCGCCTCGAAAGTCTGGTCAGAGTGCGCCCCAGGACAGGTCCAGGGGTCGGCCAGTCGGTCGGTCGTGTCGCCCACAGACCTCCGACGACGTATTTGTCTGTCCCAGCAGCTTTTCTCAATTTCTGCCTCCGGGGGCCGTTTGTTGGCCCCGCCCGCTCATCTGTAAGTCGGGCGTGTCCCTCTACAGGGGGGATATCCAGAAATAGTCAAAACATAGTCCGGGGACGATTTCTGAACTCTTTTCGACAATTTTTGAATATTTTGATTATCTTCCTGTAGGAGGACGTGCCCGACTTAAGCCCACCTCAACAAGAGCATGCCAGGGCAAGAGAGCGGTCTTGGGAGAGGAGTCCAGAGGCTGGCGCTCGCGGATGGATGGAAAGGCAGGACGGAGGCCTGTGCGCCCGGCACCAGGGTCTGCACCATCCACCTAGCCACCCCAACCCAACCCGAAGGCCCCAATTTGCTTCGGGGGTTGATAGACCTCGTGCCCTGACACGTCGATTAGCGAATTGGCCGTTTTCGGTTTGCCAGAGGGCGTCGCGGCCGTCGTTTTTGCGGGTCCAGGTCCGTCGGTTTCGGTCTTAGGCCGTTTTCACAAAAGGGTGGTTTACTCAAGGGAGGTTAGTCCACCGCCGATTGCTCTCCATTCCCAGTGGAGGGGGCGTCGGTCGGGGACCACTGAAAAACACATGTGGAACCCGTACCCCCCAAACCCGAAATTTGGATCTTCGGGTTACGTTGGGGGTGTCTGGAAGGTAGTCCGATCTTGCTCGCTCAGCACCCCTCATTCCGTAAACCTTTCTGGCTCAGGGACAAGGCGCCCTTTGCGGGTGAACGCCCGCCCACGTGACCGCAATGTAGAGCAGCGGCGGGGAGTCGCGCTGCGTCATTGAAATTGCCGTGCCCCCCCCTTCGTGCGAGGTAGCGAATGCCAGCTGAGGAATGCGAGGAGGCAGCTCCGCTGGGATTGAAGAACACAAGGATTCTGCAACAGAAATGTTCGAGGGTCCGCGCGGATTTGCCGTGTCGGCGCTGGCTTCCCTCCGGGCGGCGCACGCGTCGCCCCTGGCGCGTTCCGCGCGCCAGGGGAGGGGGTGCCAGCGCCGACCGAGGAGACCCGCTCTGGTCTCCGAGAGTTTCAGTTTATGTCGTTCTTCTGTCCTTCTATAGAAGTCCAGCAAAGCTGATGGTTCTTGACGCCCTCGCTTGCGTGAGCTGTGTGGGATTGTGGATGAGCATGTGGGGCTGCTTGGATCGCCTAGATGCCCCTGAGGCTGGAACTGGCGCAGTTGCTGTATTGCTAGTGGGCATTTGTGTGGCGCTGAATATGCACAGATTCTTTGAGACACGCTCGAAAGAGTGGCCCCCTGCTTGTATCAACACGTTTGTATGGCTTTGGACTTTTGTGCTGACCATCCTCAGTATTTCCATATGGCGCTTGGAATTTGCAATTGTACACCACCGCAGTGTGCTGCCGCCAGGTGATGATGTTCTTGCATGTATGGTCGCGACCGTCGGGGCCGTTGTCTTACTAATGACAGGGCGCTTTCGAACTTCCTGCGATGCAACTCCTGTGGGCTTTGTAGCCGACGGTCGTTATCATGGGGAACGCTTTCCTGCACCCAGCTACATCGGAGGACTGGTCAGTCAAGACTCGCCACCCACCCTGTCAAGACTCCTGAGCTATATGGTGGACGTGCTCCTCACGTGGCCTGTCGTCATGGTCTGGGCTGGAGTTTGGATGTTAGGTGACAACCATAAGGTTCCACCAGTGACCTCCTTCGCGATATGCTTCCTAACAGTCTCCTTCTTGAGCCACTGCCAAGTCCAGGAGAAGTTAGCTGAGCTGGTACATTCTTCTGATGACGTGATCTCATCTTTCCATGAGGCAACTTGGACCAAGTCAGTTCGTTGGGTTTTTGTCGTTCTTGTGGAGGGCGCGTGGACAGCTTTCCTCGCTGTGCTGTGCATCATGACGTGGCGTGGTCTCTGGGAAGGATTGGCTCCATGGCTTAGTTTGGCTGCGCACCCAATGCATCAAGCTATTGACGACGGAGACGCGTTCTTCGTCTTCAGCCTTGCAACTGTTGCTTCCATTGTGATGGCTGGCATCGGCAGACAAAGGTCTTCCCTGTTCCCACCAATGGACTTCGCCGAGGATGGTGTGTTCATGAATAGTCACACCGCAACCGATCACAGAGCTCAGACTCGAGCAGCGACGTATGGAACAGCATGATCGATGTCATATGTTTTTTTGAAGCAGGTCGCCCAGACCAAAACATACGATCGCCTCTCGTGTCCGACGCATGTCGGCCAGCTTCTGAAGCTCTCGCGGGGCCGGACCTGCCCTGCCCCAAGCTGCTACCCGGGGCCTGGGGCCCGAAGCGCCTTCGTGGTGCCGCTGGAGGCGGCGGGCGCCCAGGGTGTCGGGAGGGTCAAGCCGCCTTAGGACACGGTCAACACTTTGGAACAAGGCCACGTTGGTTCCAGAAGGGCTATCTTGGGGCCATCATCAACGACCACGTTGGTTCCCTCTTGGGGCCGTCGGGGGCCGCCTCGGGGCCATCAACAAGGACCATATTGATTCTAGAGGGGGCTCAGGGTTCCTCGCGCACTCTGTCAGGCCTCTTCTCGAGCGGCCCTCGTACACATGGGCGTAGCCCTGGTCAAAGAGGGTCTACGATCTCTATCGAAGCTTCCATGTGGCAAGACTTTGGCTGGGCGTGAATTGCCCTGGTGCCGCCGCCAGAGGTAGCGTCGGGCTGTGAGGAGAAGGGGCGTCTCCCCTCCCAAGGGAGCTGCAGAAGCTGCGTGCCGGCTGTGTGCCGTAGCATGCGCGAGTCGTAAGGTATGCAGGCTCGCGCCGCGTTTGCGCGGCGGCGACCTCAGCCCAGCGTTCAAGGTTGAACGCCGCCAGCGGCCCGGAATGGGTCGATGTCGAACGGCAGGCGCTATATTGGAAAGCCACGATCGTTCAAGGTTGAACGGCCTGCGCGCTGTCAGAACCCGCCGCCGACCTCACCGCGTCGCGTCGCGTCCGACCAGTGCGGGATGCTGGCGTCCGGCTTTGGGCGGCAATCCCCGCCGCCGTGTCAGCGCAGCACCACGGCAGGAGGAAGGTCGAGTTCGGGACCTGGTCCAGTTCCGCACCCTCCTCGAGCTCGCGAGGGGCCTGAGCAGCCCCACTCGTCCGCAGCCTCGTTGTCCTCTGCTGATCTCCTTCCTCCTACTTGTCCTCCTCCTCCTCCTCCTCCTCCTCCTCTTTCTCCTCCTCCTCCTCCTCCTCCTCCTCCTCCTCACCTTGCTTCTCCCTCCTGTTTTTTTGATGCATATCGGGGGCTCCTGGGGGGTTCCTTTCGGGCCTCTTGAGAGCCACTTGGGGCCCTCTTGGGAGCCTCTTCGGGGCCTGTTTGAGGCTCGTTGGGGGCCCGTCGGGGATCTCTGGGCCGGCTTGGGCGTGGTAGTTCCATCAAGTTCTGCCGAGGGTCGGTTGTCCCATATTCAGATCGTCTGGGCGGGGGTGCTCCTCCTCTAATCCTCCTCCTCCTCCTGCTCCTTCCCTTTCTGCTATTCCTTCTCCGTCTCCTCCTCCTCCTCCGCCTCCTCCCTCCTCCTCCTCCTCCTCCTCCTCCTCCTCCTTCATCTCCTCCTCCTCCTCCACGTCCTGCATCTCCTCCTCCTCCTTTTCCTCCTCCGCCTCTCCGTGGGCCATCTTGGGGGTGTTCTCGGCCAGCCTTGCGGCTATCTTTGGGGCTCCCTTGCGGCCGTCTTGTGCCGTCTTCGGAGTTTTTGCGGATCTCGTCGTCGTCGTCGTCGTTTCTTCATGGCGTTTCACTATCCACAGCAGGGCCGCTGGCAGTGTACTAATGTAGTTTTTCTTGTTGTTTTTGTTTACTGTTTTTTATTACCATCTTGCCAATGCATCTCTGACGTGTACGGGTTTCCGTGTTTATCTTTATTTTTCTAGTTTTCCCGAAGCGGTCTTAAAACCACAAACCTTTTGAAGCAACATATCTGGAGTTTCTGGAAGCCAGTGTTTCTCGCCACTGGCGTCGCTGGAATTGTCTTTAGGCATCTCTTGGACGTTTCTTGTGACCTCTTGGGGCACCTTTGGGAGTTCTTGGAGCCTTTGGGGGCTCGTTGGGCCGTCTTTGGATGGTTTTGTGACATAGTGCATCCGTTTAAGGGCAGTCTTTGGCTGTCTCGAAGTTATCTAGACACGGGCGGCGGGAAGCGCATCTATGGGGGTCGGTATTCGGCATATTCTGTTCCGCGGGAGCGGCATTGATTCTAGCCTTACACAATACAATTATCCAGCTGCCTGTGGCAAGTCCCGCCACTGTGCGAGCCCAGCATTCTCGGTGCTCACTTTGCGAGGGAGCACGGGAGGCCGTCACGTGTGGCAGCACCTCGTGCTCCCAAGCCTGGGAGAGCCGTGATGGGGATTGTGAGGACGATGAAGGTGGTGGTGTGTGGGATGTTTGCGCGAGCAGTGGAGGTGGTGATTTCAAGAAGGGCGACGTATGTTTTCGCGGAGAGCTTTCGCCTACATAGCTCACACCACATAGCTTGCACCATATAGTTTGCACCGTCTAGCTTGTACCTCGACAGTGAAAGCAGCTCACTGTTTGGGGTCCACGCTGGCTAGCATTCTAAAGCGAACGTGCGCGGCGCTCAGGCGTAGGGGAACGAATAATGAAATAAGCATAAAAACTCGTTGGTCCGCGCGAATTTCTCGGATCGGCGCCGGACCCCCCTCCCTGGCCTCGCGGAGCGCGCCAGGGGCGGCGCCGGAGGCGCCGCCAGGGGGGTCCAGCGCGGATCCGAGAAATCCGCGCGGACGTCCGAGCTTTGGTGCTTATGTCATTCTTCGTTCCCCTAGGCCTGAGCGCCGCGCACGTTCGCTTCAGAATGCTAGCCAGCGTGGACCCCAAACAATGCTTTGCTCGTTTCCCTCAGGCGAGAGCCGCATTTTGGAAGCCGCCCGCCCTCGCAGACTTCAAGCCGCATCATCGCGGGCTGCGAGGAGGTCTCGGGCGGCACGCCCGGCGCCCACCCTGCCAGGACGTCTCGTGGGTGAGGCGGGGAAGCGCTGTCTACGAGGTGCAAGGATCGAGGAGGAGGAGGAGGCGGAGGCGGAGGCGGAGGAGGAGCAGGAGGAGGAGGAGGAGGAGGGAGGAGGAGGGAGGAGGAGGAGGAGTGAGGGAGGAGAGGAGGAGGTGGAGGAGGAGGAGGAGGAGGAGGGAGGAGGAGGAGGAGGAGGAGGAGGAGGAGGAGGAGGAGGAGGAGGAGGAGGAGGAGGAGGAGGAGGAGGAGGAGGAGGAGGAGGAGGAGGAGAGGAGGAGGAGGAGGAGGAGGAGGAGGAGGAGGAGGAGGAGGAGGAGGAGGAGGAGGAGGAGGAGGAGGAGGAGGAGGAGGAGGAGGAGGAGGAGGAGGAGGAGGAGGAGGAGGAGGAGGAGGAGGAGGAGGAGGAGGCGGAGGAGGAGGAGGAGGAGGAGGAGGAGGAGGAGGAGGAGGAGGAGGAGGAGGAGGAGGAGAGGAGGAGGGAGGAGGAGGAAGGAGGAGGAGGGAGGAGGAGGAGGGAGGGGAGGAGGAGGAGGAAGAGTAGAGGAGGAGGAGGAGAGAGTGGAGGAGGAGGAGGAGGAGGAGGAGGAGGAGGAGGAGGAGATGGTTGTGCGGCGGAGGGTGAAACGGAAGACGAGGAGGAGGGTTGAAGTGTGAGGAGGGAGGAGCAGCAGCCCGTGTAGAACCCCTAGAACCCAGAACTTCCAAAGTATCTTTGGGCGTTCTTTGACAGGCTAACGCCGCTGTCGTCGCCGCCGTCAGCGGCGTTGCCCGCCGCTGCCGTCGTCGTCGTCGTCGCCGTCGTCTGCAGGCGTCGCCATCGACGTCGACGGCCATCGTCGGCGCAGAAGTTAGTCGTCGCCGCCGTCGCCGTTGTCGTCGTTTCCGTCGTTGTCGTCGTCGTCGCCGTCGCCGTCGCCGTCGCCGTCGCCGCGCCGTCGCCGTCGCCGTCGTCGTCGTCGCCGTCGTCGGCGTCGTCCACCCGCCCGTCGTTCAGGACGAGCGACAGCGGGAGCGGCTCCAGCGCCTGCGCCGCGAGAGTTTGGAGGCGGGGGCGCGGGCGTGGGGTGGCCGGCTCGCAGCCGTTTTCGTCGTCGTCGTCGTTGTCGTCGTCGTTGCCGCCGCCGCCGCCGCCGCCGCTGCTGCCTCCGCCGACGCCGTCGTCATCGTCGTCGTCGCCGCCCCCTCCGTCGCCACCGTCATCGCCGTCGTCGCCGTCGTCGCCGTCATCGCCTTTGCGAGGGCGCCGGCCAGGTCCCCAGCGAGCCCTCACGGCCGGGGTGCCGCCAGCTGGCCACCCACGCCTGCATCCTGGCCAGGCCAAGACGCCGCCGAATCGACACGCAGGGGGCTGACAGCCCCCTGCGTCGATTCGGCGGCGGCGTCGACTTGGCAGCCTTCGCAGGTTTCCAGTGGTCCTCGGGGTCTTTGGGGTGCTGTTGGGGGGACACTGGCGGCACTCGCGGCACTTCCCATGGAGACTTTCGCAGGTTGCCGGATGCCTTCTGTCGGCGGCAGGGGGTTGGCCTCTCCTGCCTCGCTCTGCCGCCTGCTGCTCGGTTTCCCCTGGAGCGCATCTGGCAGGGTAGCGCCCCGAGCACCTTGGAGGCACGGCTGGGCGCGGGGGGGTCGAGGCTCGCTCTCCTCGCGAGCCCGTGCTGCAGGTTGAGGGGAGGAGGGAACCAACTGGAGTCTGGGAGACACACGGAGGAAGGGGGCGGGCCGCTCACGCGCCCGGGCGTCTCGAGAACGCCGCGAACCCCGCTTCTGCCCCGCCTCGGGGCCCAAACCCCTCACAGCCATCGTCCGCCGTCCGTCGACCGCCGTCGCCACCGCCGCCGCCGTCGTGGTGGTGGCGATAGTGGTGGTGGTCGTTGTCGCCGCCGCCGTCTTGGCGGCGCCCTTGAGGGGTGGCGCGAAGGGGGCGGCTTACTAAGAAGGCGGATTGCGCTTCTTAGAAGCAGGGGCCTTCTAAGAAGGTCCTGGAGGCTTCTACGAAGGCTTCTTGGAAGCCGGGCGGGCTTCTAGGACCCCCCCCTTCCTTCTTAGAAGTCCCGCCACCTTCGTACAAGGCCGCCCCAGTGGCGCCAACCAACAATGGGCGCCGCCAACCGTCGTCGAGGTCGCGCCCGCCGCCGCAGCCGCTGCCGCCGTCGCAGCAGCCGCCGCCGCCGCCGCCGTCGTCGTCGTCGTCGTCTTCGTCGTCGTCGTCGTGGTGGTCGTCGTCTTCGTCGTCGTTGTCGTCGTCGTGGTGGTGGTCGTCGTCGTCGCGGTGGTGGTCGTCGTCGTCGTGGTGGTGGTGGTGGTCGTCGTCGTCGTCGTCGTCGTGGTCGTCGTCGTCGTCGTCGTCGTGGTGGTGGTCGTCGTCGTCGTCGTGGTGGTGGTGGTCGTCGTCGTCTTCGCCGCCACTGCCGCCGCCGGGCGCCGTGGGCCGACGGCTGACGGCCGCGCCCGGGCGGAGGCGGTTCGCTCGGCGGAGCGGGGCCTCGAGGCGCTGCAGAGCGAGGCGCGGCCAGCGGCGTCGCGCGCGCGCGCGGGCACGCGCCGCGCGAGGCCCTCGGTCGAGGGAAGAAGTGCGAGGACCACTTGGCATCGCTCGCACGTGTGCGCTCTGTCGCGGCGAGGACCATCGAGGAGCCATCCTGGAGTATCGCGGGGAGAACGAGCGCACGAAGCCGACACGTGCACAAGGAATGGACGTCCGAGCGATGGCAGGACCATTCTTGAATATCGGAACGGGAACGGAACGAACGGGTACGAAGACCGAGAGCAGTTCCAGTTCACTTCGAACAGGACTCGCTGTCGGTGTCGTTGCGGGCGTTGTCCATTCGAGGCTAAAGGTCGCCTGCCCACTAGCGGCCGCTGTCGGTTTTGTGCGAC